CCTAATTTATMTATTGATTTGTGGTTAATATTGGTTCTCACAGTTACCACAAACAACTCAGTTCTCTTTTGAATAGGCTCTTTTATATATATATATATATATATATATATTTTTTTTTTTTTAAGAGAGACAAGACAAGACATGTTCCTCCTAGGGAACAATTCATATTCCACTTCTTTAATTCCATTTTTGTGTGCATGCCTACCTACCTACCTACCTTATCTTCGAGTGTAGACTATTAAAGTATACGTTAAATATAACAAATAAACTCACACATCTTTCTTATCTTTGATGAGGTTTGAACTTTGACCTTTTAGGAGGTCAAAAGCTACGATACCGTTAGGCCAAATGCTCTTTGGTCTATCAAACAAACTTTATAGAGCAAATTGCATGAAAGTATTATATACTTTGTTTTGTTTCTTATTTTGAGTAATGTACATTTAAAATCTTTATTTTAGTACTTATAATGTAAAATTCAAACATTTAAGTACCTGAATGACCGGTTTAACCATTAACTGGTTACCATGTTCACATGACGAATAATATGACATCAAACTCAATATTATTTGGTGACATGGTTAATGACATGAATCTATATAAAACCATGTTCAAATCCAAGAAGGAGTAAAAAAATTCTTGTGGCCACAGAGGTTCAAATACGGTGACTCCGGGCTACCCGTAAAACATGTGTTCGCCTTGGGATTAGTCAGCTCACATAACGGGTTGAATATCCAGGTTAATAAAAAAAATCATCTGGTTAAATATATAATAATTCTAATAAAAAAACATATTTAAACTAATTTTATAAAAGAATACATGTTATCAACCACGTCAACAAATAATATTAAATTGTATGTCATATCATTCGTCATGTTAGCATGGTAATCAGTTAATGGTTAAACTAGTCACTCGTGTACTTAAATATTTGAAGTTTCACATCTTAAGAACCAAAATTAAGATTCTGAAAGTACATTGCCCAAAATAAAAATCAAAACCATGTAGGTTATATATTCACAGTGGCGAACCCATGAATTTTTCTGAGCGGGTGCATTTTTAAGGTCAATCAAAGGTCAACAAAGTCGCGTTTTAACTTAGGGAAAAGTCAACACAGTTTGACTCGAGAAAAATTCAATCGGGTCGATTTGATACCATACATTTTTACAAATGAAACCGACCTTCGCTTTTTGAGCACGACGTAACACTACGTCTTACACTCAACGCATTCTTGGCCGAATTCCACCTCTACAGGGGATTTTTTTGGTTGATTTTCTAACGGCCAACAAATGCAACAACATAATATAATTTTATAAATTTCTTACATAAATATGTTCGATGACATCATTGACAGAGGAATAATAACCCATTGTCAAGTATTATCAAAATAACTTAAATTGAAAATTCAAACAAAAGTATAAACTATTAAATGTAATTTATTTTATTTTATTTTCAAGTTATTTCAAATAAACATATATTGTCATTAGAACGAGACAAACAAAAACAAATTTAATATGATTTGGTCCTTGTCCCGCTCTTACCGAGTAAGATTCTTGGTCCTTACCGTATTCATCCAGTAAGATAATACGATTTAATAAGCGTCTTACCCGAGTAAACGTTTGATAAACGACCCCTTAATTGTAGTCGATTGGTAAGACTTTGCTATTTTATAGTTAAGGTCTTGAGTTTAATTCTTCTGTTGTATATTTGTTTGCTTTTTTTATGTATAAAAAACTAAAAAATGTTGTCAAAAATATTTGAACCCACGACTTTAAGAAAAACAAATAGTGCGTCGACCATTCCAGTAACCCTACTCTCCTGTTTCGCGTCTTGTTTTAGAAACATATAAGAACACACTTTAAAATTAAGCGGGTGCACAGTTACGCCCAGTAAAAAAATCCCATTACGACGGGATGATTGAGCGCGTGCCTGTGCACCTTCTACTCTATGAGTAGGTTCGTCCTGTATTTTCATGCAATTTGCCAACTTTATATGCATGCTAACTTTTGTTTCATAAAACAGTATTATACAACAAGTTAATGTCATAAGACATTTTTTCTTACTATGTTGAAGCTACGACATGGATTTGTTGTGGTGTCGCAAGCTATAACTTTGGCGTTGAACAAGTCAAGTGTGTATGTGTGTGTGTATATATATATATGTATGTATATGTATATATATATACATACTGTATTATAAAGTATTTGACAAAAACTCTTAATAACTATTTTTTATGTATAAAGTACTGTTTAATAATGCATATTACTTAAAACTTAAGATTGCAAGTAGATTGTGTGTAAGTACAACTTATTAAAGCTCTATATCTGAATTCGTGT